CCTTCGTTGTCGCCGGCACTACCACTTTTCAAAAAGATATAGATTAGATATATAGATTAGATTTATAGATTTGATTTACCCCTTTTTTATGTTCGTTCACGATGAATAGAAAAAGGATCATAGGATTTAAGGCAGATTTGGCAGACGTAATGCATGATGTTTTGTTCGATACACACGGTTTGTTGCTATCGATTTATGGATTTTTGCATTTTTTGCCTAGAAATTGTCTTTGCTTGAAAACGATAGAAGGAGTTATGGAATATAGACCAAAGTTGCCAGGCATAACGCATGGGTGGGATGTGTTTTAATAAGCCGTTTGTTCAACTATAATGATCGACCCTTTCAATTTATTGATTTTTCGCAGTTCGCGTAATATCCATTGCTTAGTGTTAATTCGAAATAAACCGACAAAGCCGAAATTGCCCACGGTTGTTCTTTTTGCGCCGGTTATAAACGAAGTAGTTCGTGCAAAATGGCAAATTTTCTGCATTTCACTTTCAATAAAGAACAAAACGAAAGATTTACCGGAAGCGAAGCTGCCGTGTACCAGCCGCACCTGCCGCGTAGCGGCAGAGAGCGGCTGGTATTCGAATATTCGAATAATCGAATAATTACAAATTGTCAAATATTCGACTGTTCGAATATTCGAATAGACACACCTGTTCGAATATTCGACTATTCGAATAATTCGATTAATCTAGCGCCTCAAACAATGCTGGTTTTTTCTTTGTTGCTGTTTTCTGCAAAAAAATCAGTTGCTATCTTTGATCTAGATTTGTATTAGGTTGTCCGGAAATAAATGCCCGTTTTGAATTTCAACCGCAATAAATTCATACACCTCTCATTTTTGAATAGGATGCAGAGTACCATTCGGTAGAGTAAAGCAAGCTCTACAAAAAGGCCATCTTGCTTTTGCAACAGCTCTCATTCACCTCGAGTTTCGAGCCAAAAACTAAAAAGGCTCAGCAGCCCGAAAAATCGAAAAAAATCGTAACTCATTTTACAAAAATACAAAAATTCTTACTTGCTCACGTAAACACTGTCCACATAAAACATCTATATAGGCCTTTGCAGTATTTTTTCCTCCGTTAGAAATCAAGAAAACGGAAATTTTCGTGCATTCGCCAAAATCGTGTTGTGCCGTCCCCACATAGATAGTTGTATACTACAAACTTGTAGAAGTACAGACTTAAATTCTCAGCTCTCTATAAGCTTTAGTTCTCAAGAAATTTGAATTTTAGCTTGGACCACCTAACTAAGGAAAGTATTCGGTATTTTCCGAGAACTAAAGCTTGTAGAGAGCTGAAAATCTAAGTCTGCACTTCTACAGGCTTGTGGTATACAACTACCCATGTGGGGACGGCACAGCATCACTTTGGCAAATGCACGAAAATTTCCGTTTTCTTGGTTTCTAACGGAGGGAAAAATACGGCGAAGGCGTATATGGATGTTTTAAGTAGATAGTGTTTACGTGAGCAAGTAAGAATTTTTGTAGGATTTTTGTGAACACAGTTACGATTTTTTTCGATTTTTCGGGCTGCTGAGTTTTTTTAGCTTTTGGCTCGAAACTCGAGGTGGATGAGAGCTGTTGCAAAAGCAAGAAAGCCATCTTGTAGAGCTTGCTTTGCTCTATCGAACGCTACTTTGCAACCTACTTAGAAGTGAGAGGTGTATGACTTATCGCGGTTGAAATTCAAAACGGGCATTAATTTCCGGACAACCTAATAGCTGATAATTATATGTGTAGCAAGTGGTAGGATACTGGGTTATTGTCATTGGTCGGGGTTTTGAATAGGAAACAGAAGAATTTCACTCAAACATGTAGTTCAAGGTGTTCATGGTCTTTTAAGATGGTTATCAAGCCTTACTTAGTAATCTGTGAGTCCGTATTATCCTTACTAACAGAAGTTTCTCCCGAAGCTACACAGAACTTTCTCCCTAAAGCTAAAGATTGAACATGGAGAACCTTTTGGATTAGGTGTCTGTTTGTAATTTATTCGTAATGGTCAGCATTGCGTGAGTTCTAAGACTAGCACTGGGGAGCACGAGGAAGGCCTACAGAAATAGAATCAGCGAACCTCTGCTGTTGTCCCGAAAGTTTTGTGCGTTTTTTCAAACCACCATAAAACCACGCACAATAAAGACCTGAATGAGTTTCAAATATGCATTCGATGCAGCCTTCCCTTCTCTTCTCGAGAACACATCTTGGAACCACAGTTTTGTATGCTTTTTTTGATAATTGCCAAAATTCTCCACCTGTCAATTTTATCTGCTCAAAGTGAGGCTACTTTTTTGAAGTCTTTTTCCAAAGTTTCGGAAAGGACTAAGATGGATCAAATAGAGCAATTCTCGGACTACAAGGTAATATTTTTAGAATCTCTTAATCTGCTGTTTTTAGCTTTAAAAACACTAATTCTTCGGAAGTCTCGATTTTTTTTCAAAGTCATGAAACACGCAACTGCAGCAAATACACGAAAGCTTTTGAAGCTTTTGCGAATTGAAATATGATTCTTATCAAACATTATTTATGCTACATATCAAGTTTGCTCTGCTTTGAAAAAGCAGTTTGGAATTTTCGGTCCTTTTAGGTGGTAAACGTAATCAAAAGCCCGCAGTTTTTATCAAGCAAATAATTATAACGAGCTTGGTAAACATGGCCATGCAATCTAAAATGGGTACAAGTAGCCAAAGCCTTGCTGTACATAAAAATCATCAGCGCTCTTTGGAAACATCAGGATGAAAATTTTTAAAATTCAGTAAAGATTGGGCGTTACTTCTGAGCTGCTCAGAAAACCGTGGCGATAACGTTGCAAAAACAGATTAGATCAGAAAGCAAATACAGCTGTAAGAAAGATAAAAATATGTATTATATCGTCCCTAAGTTGTCCATGGATTGGTGTTCTGTGAGTTCTAGTGAGCAATGATAAAAACGCACAAAACTCTCGGGAAAACCTAATACTTCTGTGCTCATCTAAATCCAAAAAAAGAAAACTCAAATTTCTGTATATTATTAGGTTGTCCAGAAATTAATGCAGGTTTTGAATTCTAACCGCAATAAATCATACACTTCTCATTTCTAAGTAGGTTGCAAGATACCATTCGATAGATCAAAGCAAGCTCTACAAAATGGCGACCATGTTCTAGCAACAGCTCTGATTCACCTCGAGTTTCGAGCCAAAAACTAAAAATATTCAACTGCCCGAAAAATTGAGAAAAATCGTAACTCAGTGCGTAAAAATCCCACAAAAATTCTAACTTGCTCACGTCAACACAATCCACATAGAGCATCTATATACGCCATTGCCATATTTTTTTCTCTCTTAAAAATCAAGAAAACGGAAATTTTCGTGCATTTGCCAAAGTGGTGCTGTGTCGTTCCCACTTAGGTAGTTGTATACTACAAACCTGTAGAAGTATAAACGTAAATTTCCAGCTCTCTACAAGCTTTGGTTCTCGAGTGAATTTTAGCTTGGACCACATGATTAGGGAAAACTGTATTCGATATATCTCGAGAACCAAAGCTTGTAGAGAGCTGGAAATTTACGTTTATACTTCTACAGGTTTGTAGTATACAACTACCCATGTGGGAACGGCACAGCACCACTTTGGCAAATGTAGGAAAATTTCCGTTTTCTTGATTTCTAATGGAGAAAAAAATATGGCGATGGCGTATATAGATGCTCTATGTGGATTGTGTTTACGTGAGCAAGTTAGAATTTTTGTAGGACTTTTTTGAACTGAGTTACGATTTTTCTTAATTTTTCAGACAATTGAATCTTTTTAGTTTTTGGCGCGAGACGCGTGATGGATTAGAGCTGTCGGTAGAGCAAGGTTGCCATTTTGTAGAGCTTGCTTTGCTCTATCGAATGGTGTCTTGCAACCTACTTAGAAATGAGAAGTGTATGATTTATTGCGGCTAGAATTCAAAACCTGCATTAATTTCTGGACAACCTAATAGCTAATGATCTGTCACTGGAAATTATTAATCGCTGAGTTTCACACTTTCTGTTGTAGGATTTAATTTTCACAAAATTGTTTTACCTGTATATTTAGGTTTGGACTTTTGCTGTAAGGGATTCACGCATTTTTTACTCAGGTTCAAAATAAGTTTTGTTCAACCTGCACGCCTACTCAAAGTATTATTCCTCTATGAACTTTGCAACATTTTAACACTAGTTTTTTTTACGCCTTCTTACTACAAAGGCAGCCGTTTTAAGTATGGTGACTGACATACAGGCCGCCACAAGTCAAGCGGCTCAGGTCTTCGCGACCGCCTTGCTCTGGCCTTGCGCTGTAACGTATCTTTCAGGTATTTTGACATGCGAACGGTGATTAGGCTGGCAAGGCAAGTGAAGATCTTAAGATAAAGGAATGAATGTTGCCTATACTTGCTGCATTAAAGAACTGCTGGTCCTTCACATGCTTATGCAAGCTGTTTGAGGACCAGTGGTCTGCTAAAGGGCGCCTAATGACGGCTTTCCTTCACCCAATTTAGAGCATGGAGGCATTTCCGTATGATATTGCATCTCAATTTCTCAGACGCGATTTCCAGAAGATAGTTCAGCACTCCAAATGATATGCATAAGACTTGTCATCACTATGCTCTGGCATGACTCGCGACTCATGCCTTAAGAAGAGAAGCTTGCTAGCCATGCTGTCATATGATAATTCATTTGTGTGAATGACCTATCTGGGACAAACTTGTATTCAGTGTAGAACAGCTGAAGTTTTTTGACATGAAATTTTCGAATGAATGTTCTTAAATGTTCGAATATTCGAATGACTGTCTTTCAAGTTGGCTTGAATATTCGAATATTCGAACAACTGTCTTTTAAATTTCCTCGAATAAACGAATATACGAATAACTCATTTTCACAAATCATCGAATGAACGAATTATTCGAATACAGGCCTTTTTCATTCATGCGATTATTCGAATAATCGAATAGTCGAATATTTTGAATAAATTATTCGAACACGAATATTCGGTTCTAATTATAGTCAGCAGCATCCTGCTTCTCGATCGAGCGCGATCACGTCCTGAACAAATAAGTCATAAGTTCTTCCCGCAGTCCTACTGATGCTTACAGTTGTCTCAGAAATTATGAACATCCAAACGACAATGTCGCGGGAATCCCGTACACTACAACAGTGGCAAGGTTCTCAGCAAATGCATACCTCGTCTGTAAGGCTTAGTGCTCTTCACTATAAGTGATAAAGGTGAGTACAGCACATCAGGTTGCCGAAAGTGGATGTCCCATGTGGATATCTGAATTGAACCGCGTGCCTTCACCGTTACTGCCTCGGGCCAAACTTCCATGTGTAACGAATTTATGTTTGGTCGTTATCGTTAGTCTATCAATGGTAGTGTAGCTGGACTTTCAGTAACGCTTACTTCCTATCCGTCTCAATCGACGTATATAAAAACTCAACTAGGTTCCTTACTAAGTATTTATCAGGCAATTGTAAACAGAGCATAGGATATAAAGGTATAGGACAGCGAATATAGGCGGAATAAAACACAGGAATGGATGAGAAAGAAATGAGGTAGAGGATAAATAAGTTGTAAGATGAAATCAGCCAGGCAGGAGCCCAGATAATCTTATGCCGATGCAACTTTGGATAATGAGAACACATACAGAAGAGAAGGGAATAATAGAGAAAACTAATTGCTTATAAAATAAGAAAGTAATTAAACGAGTGGACGATGGCGAGCCGGCCAGAGCCGGCTCGTTTGTTGATTGACTCTCTCCCGCGGGGCGGGGCTCATTTGCTTATAGTTAACGGGCGGGCGGGCAAGAGTGCGGGAACCAATACCGCATTACCGTAGTCAGCGCTTTTCCTACAGGATTGATCCGTATTATTCATAAAACAATTATATACCATGGGGACCCTTCGCCCCAGACGAGCCTGTATTCAAACTGTAAGCATCAGAGAAGACAGCTTCCTACGTTAGCATCTTCTTATTTCCGTGTGCATGAAAGCTTCTCTGCGGCGAGGAGCGGGGTACTTCGTCATAAGGGAGCCGCGCGTGACCGAATAAGTTTTGTAGATTCTATTTATATTTCATTCATTTATCCAGTTATTATTTATACTACTTACCTATTGCCAGTACTGTTTTTGAGATCCAGTCATCGTCAATCGCATTTTGTATAACTTCGTAACACTTCCCAATTATTTAATGCCACTCAAAATTTGATTTCCACAATTCAGTTTTGTTTTAGTGTACTTACTACTACTTGATGATACTCAATACTACCTACCTCATTTCCAGCGTTGTCGGAGAAGGCTCAACGTGAACACTTCTATAAATTATGCTTCTTCACATATTCCACTTCGGATCAAAGATCTCTCTCGTTCGGATTTCATCTCATACTTACTAATACTCAATGCTACTTACCTCATCTCCAACGCTTCCGCTGATGCTGCTGTCATACAGCTCATCTCAGCACCTTGAAACGATCTTGTACTGCTAGGGAAGACATATTCTTGTTGGATTATACTTCTAACAGCGCAACAATCTCTCCGAGCCCCTAGTACGCATTAACATCCGTTATCAGCAAGTCAGCAAAGTCATGGGTTGTGAAAAACATTCTTCTTTTCATATTCTGAAAGTTTTCCCAGGCTGGACAGGGTGTCTGGACTCTCCATGTGGATAGGTGGGAGACCTCAGCCCAACCATTGCCCAAGCGCTAGTTCATGCCATTCAGCGCCGAGAGAGATCTCTAAATTCCAACCTTCCGGAGGACACTGATTGGCCCGCTTGGAAAGGCTAAGTTTGGCGTGATAATAGGAGTTGAGAACTGAATTTTCGGCCACGAAACAATCGTATCAGCTTTGCTTGAGCAATAACCCATCTATCGCCTTCCATACAGTATCCACAAGAAAAATTAGAAAAATTAAATCAAATTAAAAAGGTACCCATTGGCCTCTGCGTGCCTCGCTAAGCCGAAAATTCATTGTATTTCGTTCATGACATACCTTTAGGTGGGCGATGCGCCCAATTGTTTTTCCCCAATCCTTCTCTTTCCCAACGGTTTATTTTTTATTATAATATTATTTTATTCTATTTACTTAATTACTACTCATCGATACTATATACTACAAACACAGCTCATGCAACCTACCTGAACTTCACTGTATTTCGCCCCGGGCCTGGCTTCGTAACCGCTGGGGGCTGCCACAAAAGTGCAGCTCCACGTGCAGGGGCTTCACTTCTTGCACCAGCCGCTGGTGGGTGCCCGATGGCATCCAGACCATCCGTTAAATTCTTCATCGAAAAAAAAGGGTTCATGACATACCTTTAGCTGGGCGATGCGCTCCATTGTTTTTTCCCAATCCTTCTCTTTCCCAACGGTTTATTTTTTATTATAATATTATTTTATTCTATTTACTTATTTGTTACTTATCAATACAATACTATATTGGATTCTTTTGTGGAATTTAGTACAGTGCTTCTAGTTGAAAAATTGGGCTAAATATAAAATCATTAAAGTATAGTCAAAGGACACCAGAAATTACCTTTGCATCTTCTTCGTCTTAGAACTGACTGTCCAATTCTATATACTACATATACAACTTGTCTAACTTACCTGAAATTCATTGTATTTCGTCCCTGGCATTGTTTCGTGAGCGCTGGGGGCTGCCACAAAAGTGCAGCTCCACGTGCAGGGGCTTCACTTCTTGCACCAGCCGCTGGTGGGTGCCCGATGGCATCCAGACCATCCGTTAAATTCTTCATCGAAAAAAAGGGTTCATGACACACCCTTGGGTGGGTGATGCGCCCAAATGTTTCTTCCCAATCCTTCTCTTTCCCATTTGTTTATTTTTTTATTACAATCTATTATTTTATTCTATTTATTCATTTACTACTTATCAATACTATCTACAAAGATAAGTCATGTAACTTACCGAAATTCATTTCGTCCCGGGCCTGGCTTCATAACCGCTGGGGCTGCCACATTGAAGTAGAGCTTCACTTGCAGCGGCGCCACCTCTTGTACCGGCCGCTGGTGGGTGTCCGATGGCACTCAGACCATCCGTTAAATTCTTCATCGAAAAAATAGAGGCATTGAAACTTTGCGGCAAAAACATACGATAGAGAAACGGGCAACAACAAATACAAAAGTTTTCAAAATGTAGCAAATGAATAGCTCAATACAATTCTTGCACACTTGACTTGTATCTAAACAGGAGACGATCAGTAATGAAGCTCGACAGACCTCAAAATTATGTGACAGTGTGAAAAGTTCCGGTAACTCGAATGCGTAATAAGTTAAGAGCGTCCTTCTCCACGAGTGAGATGAGTGTTAAAAAGTTACTGAATTTTGTTACATTATTGAAATGCAAACAAACATGCAAACAGTCCGAAAATCTGCAAGTTCATGAAGTCGCAAGGCGGAGAAAAAAATGAAAGGCTTCTATGCTTGCTTCTTGCAAAACCAATAATCTCTTTCATTCCCCTAAAATAAGAGAAGAAATCAACGGGAAAGTTATGCAAAGTCCAAAGTGCAGGATGAATGGTCGAAGAGATTTGGCGCCAAACAACGACTTGTTTCATTTCCCTTCCGCTCGTCAATACGGTCATAAGATCAGAAATTCAGTACATTTACAAGTCAGTCGGACAGTTGAGCAAAACACTGTAAAAGAAGTTGTTAGAACAGCGCTGTTTCGTAAGGACACTTTACCACTCCAACGTAAATCACGAAATTGACAAGTTTGAGGTGTCTCTGGAAAATTTGCTTTGTCTGATGGTAGTTTGCGAACTGCGCAGACTATAAATATGATAAGAGCTCTACGTGCAGGGACGCCACCTCTTGCACCTGCCGTGGGGTTATATATTTATATTCTATTTATTTATCTATACATTTTATTATTTATTATATATCTATCTAATATTTATATTCTGCTTATTTATCTATACATTTTACTATTTATTTATTTATTCATCTAATTATCAATATCATATGCTACATAAAAAACTCAACTTACCTCCTAACGCTGCCATATCGAAGTGCAGCTCTACGTGCAGGGACACCACCTCTTGCACCTGCCGCGGGGTTATATATTTATATTCTATTTATTTATCTATACATTTTATTATTTATTATATATCTATCTAATATTTATATTCTGCTTATTTATCTATACATTTTACTATTTATTTATTTATTCATCTAATTATCAATATCATATACTACATAAAAAACTCAACTTACCTCCTAACGCTGCCACATCGAAGTGCAGCTCTACGTGCAGGGACACCACCTCTTGCACCTGCCGCGGGGTTATATATTTATATTCTATTTATTTATCTATACATTTTATTATTTATTATATATCTATCTAATATTTATATTCTGCTTATTTATCTATACATTTTACTATTTATTTATTTATTCATCTAATTATCAATATCATATACTACATAAAAAACTCAACTTACCTCCTAACGCTGCCACATCGAAGTGCAGCTCTACGTGCAGGGACACCACCTCTTGCACCTGCCGCGGGGTTATATATTTATATTCTATTTATTTATCTATACATTTTATTATTTATTATATATCTATCTAATATTTATATTCTGCTTATTTATCTATACATTTTACTATTTATTTATTTATTCATCTATTTATGAATATCATATACTACATAAAAAACTCAACTTACCTCCTAACGCTGCCACATCGAAGTGCAACTCCACGTGCAGCGGCGCCACCTCTTGGACCTTGCTATAGTCGTCCTCACCCCGCTAGTCGCTAAGCGGAAGTCGAATTTGTATCGAGCACTCCGACTGCGATAAAGCGCGGCACCTTCAGCCTGCAGTTCAGATTTGCTCCTGCTCGTAAGAGATTCTTAGTTATGTGTTGCTTGTTGCTTTGTTGGCTTTGGCTCCACATCAACATTGCGCAGGAAAGGACATTTGCTGAGTTTGCAAGTGATTACACATACTTCAAGTTCCGACTGCCATGTTTGTCCAACGTATCTTAGATGGTTGAGAAGTTGGCGCATCCAGGAAAACTCTTCCGCTCAATACGGTAGCGGGTGATTCAAGATGAATATCTCAGTCGCGAGTGCACCATCTGCACTGCGACCTGGGCAGTTTAGCGGTCCTCAATCCCACATGTGTGCAATTTGCCTGGACGCTGTCTTTGCTTCATGGAATGTCGTAGAGATGCAGACTCCCAGTAAATTGGTTCCATTACGGACGAGTTCTTGTGGTTCTTTCCTCCACCTCGGTAGCTGATCCTTGTCTTGTTTGGTACTACCTTCAGAGCTGCGAGTTCTTCCATTCTAGTCGCTTTAAATAACGAATCGGCATTAAGGTGCACCACATTATCTTATGCCAGTTGTCCACGTAGACGAACTCTAGTCGACATAACTTCCCCCTACCTTTCGAAGCACGGCTTAAAATTCTGAGAAATTAGCAGGTGAAAACTACGGGATGTTGGATGCGAGAACACTTAAGAAACCTATGGGCACTTTCGCTACAAATGTCTTGAAAAAAGGTGCGTCATCATGGCGGAAATTCGTGTAAAGAGGGTTACATTTTCAGCTATGTTTGTATTGTTAGAGAAGAAACAAAAGGTGGTCAGGTCAGGAAACTCTGAGTGAGTTTAAGACTACGACGTCGTGAATTGAAAAGAGTTCTGTCAACACAGGATTACGGCCAAGAGTGCAGTCGAGGGTAATCGACAGTCATAGACATAAAGATGAAGAAATGTTAACCTAATTGAAATGGTTAGATCAAATAAAGAAAAAGACAAAGAAAGTAACGAAGGACTCTGTAGAAACCAAAACGAAGGGCAATGATACAGCGAGACAATCGATAGGGTTTGTTTGCGCTCAAAATCGATCGCTCAGCAAACTCAGTAAATGTCGTGCAGATCAAAATTTTTCGAATGGATCGTTATTGTACCCACATCCATTGTAATCCTGTACCAATCTGCTTGCTCATGGTAAGCTAATGACATCAGCATTCTCATAATAACTTAATTCCCATCAGTGCTTGCAGTTCGAAATAAGTTAAATTGCTCTCTGGGCTCATCCATGACATACTTGATCTACATTATTGGTTTTGCTTCTAGTTGGTTTGCTGGTCGAATTCTAGTGGCGAAGCTATGAAAGCGAAATGATATCCGGACAAAAAGAGCAGGCAGTCGTAAAGAAGCACTAAACGCGGCGAGAAGTTATTTTATGCTATAGACAGTCTCTAAGCGAAGCTTTGTCGTTCCTTCTTGGATATGTAGACCGAATGGGAGATAACCAAGTTAACCAAGTCGTCGAAGGTACAGTCCACGTAACTCGTATAATAAAAAAATATAAATATTCGCCAAAAACATACTCGTACTCATCCATGCAAGCCTCAGCCATTAGCTAAGTTTGTGATCTATTTTCGAGTCGTTTGTATGCTTACTAGTTTGCGACCCTATGGGTAAGACGACACATATGTGGTGCGTAGGGTTGGAACATAATTATTTTGACAGTGCTATTGTTCAAAAACTTTCTTGCACAGAATAATTTCAATAGTTTCGGTACATGGGGTACCTTTTCCTTAAAAGAGTTTTCGTCAAGGTAGTGGAAGGTCATGTCATGCTCAATGTACTACACAAATTAGGAGCAAATTTGCAACAAACCCATTCGTTTCCCTTTCCTCGATTACCCGCAAGATTTTAGTTAACTTCTCATAACTTGCAGGATTACCCCGCAAACTTGGTTTTCATCATTTCTCTAGAACAGTAAGTCACCCAATGCTACTATCAAAATGAAAAACAATTTTCGGTGAAAGCCCTTCCGGCAAAATTTAGATAACAGGGATGAAAATCCCTTAAAATTCAAATCCCAAGAAAATTTTTGTACAAGTTAGGTTGATGCGTAAATCCTTCACCAAAATAGGTACACACTACAGTAATCCGGAATAATTCTATATCCTAAATAGGGTTCTATATATCATTAGATAGACCACCTAGCTCTACAAGGCAGTGCTTAAAGATTTGCAGCAGCTTTGATCCAAGCGAAGATTGAGGCCAAAAACGAAAAAAATCTAAGCGCCCCATAAAAACAAGAAAACTTGGAATTCCGTTCAGAAAAATCCCGCAAAATTTCTAACTTGCTCATGCATTGTTATTTCGGATATGACATCTCTCTCTGCGTTTTTCGTGTTTTTGCCAAATTAGTGTTGAGATGTTCTAGCACTAACATTTGTATAGTACACGCCATTAGCAGTGTAATTTTATATTTTCAGCCTTCTAGAAGAACTAGTTCACGAGAAAT